AGTGTAAGGGGACGACCCACACAAGTAAATTCAAGAACCTAGCTATTAGCCCCCAATATAGTAAGCCTATAAAGGCTAAATAGGAAGGTGTCACTGTTTGTAATCGACTGAAATACATTTGATTGGTTTGTTCATCATAGCAACCTTTAATGGTGAAGGATGAAGACGGATGAACATTGTAATTGAGGAGTATAAATAATCCTTCTTAGAATGAGGAAGATGAATGAACACTGTAATTGAAGAGCATAAATAACCCTTCTGAGAATAAGGAAGGGGAACTCACTTCGAAACGAAAATATATCACAAACCATACTTGGGTGGATTAAAATCCATCATTTTTTATTGTTGTTATTATTACTATTATAATTGTCTAGCTAACATATGCATATGAACTACCATTTTATTAATAATTTATTTTTATTTTGATTTATCGTTTCATTCATATGAGGGTGGGAATTGAAGCAAATGTTACTTTCCTCATAAGTATTTTCATAAAAAAATATTTTTGATGTGAGAAAGTCTACAAAAAGTGGTGTGGATCTTAGGTCCAACAAAGAAGTACTCGATCTGCACAATGAGATAAATTTTTATACATAATGAGCCAACTTTACATGATGGCTAATAATCCTAATATTTTAAGTGTTGTAAGAGCATCCTCATCTTTTTAAATTAAAACTCATCCATCTAATCAATCTCTCATCCACATCATCTACCTTTAAATAGCTTATTTTTTAGACAAACACTCACAATCCATATTATCGGTCCATCTAGTAATATATTTACATAATTATTTTGAAATTAAATATTACCAATTTAATAAATTAATATAATAAACTATTTAAATATTTCAAAGTTAAATGTTATAAATTCAAAATTTCTAAAAATAAAATAAGTATTAAATTTAATGGGTCTTGAATTTAAATGCATCTAAAGAAATTAATGAATAATGATAATAAAAATGAGTTCATTATTACTTATGTTATAGTTCAAACTTCAAATTTCATATGTATTGGGCCAAATGGTGTTTACTAAAATTTCAAAATGGCATGATGCAAATTCCAAATGTGTATGCATAGTGAGCTTTTAAGAATGATTTTTAAACCTCTACATTAAAAAAAGAGTATAATAGCTATTCCAAAAATAGATTTGAGAAAATTGAGCTACTAGATTGAGAGCAATTAAAATGTAGATAACATGTTGCTACATCCAAGATAATTGCATACAATTTTGTTTTGATCGACCACAAAAAATTCAGCAAGAATCAAAGCAACACATACATGCCCACTGTTCAAATTATCTTGGCCAACAAAATAGAATTACAGATTGACCAAGTATATTTAAAGTAAGGAGATGGTAAATTTAAGAATCCTACATTGATGTATTTGGTTCTGTTTTTTTTTTTGCAAGGAACTAGGATGGCTAATACTTCAAAATGGTTATTTGAGATTGTTGGATAATATTTTTAACTTTCAAAATGCTTCAATTCAAGACTCGAAAGTGTACGATGTGGGTAAATTTACCAATACTTTCTGAAATTTGTGTTCTTAATTAAGATTACCTTCATATTTGCAATGTTGTGGGATGATTTGTACCTACATAAATAAAATTTACATTAGTGGTAGCCTTACTTTAAAACATAACTAAAAAAAATATGCAAGCAATTCAAAATGATACCTTTCTCATGTTTTTTGATTTCGAATGCAATAACTTGTGAATAAAATATAGAACAGTAGTTCATCTAATGCTACACAAATGACATTTTTAATATGAAATTTACTTATAAAATAGAAAATATAATATCACCATCAATAGTAATTAGAATGGTAATGTCACAAAAAAAAAACTTCTCCAACGAGAGTGTTCATTTTAATTTTCACCATATTTTGGAAAGATCTGTAACTACAAATAACAAATTTATTTAGTGCACTGTTTAATAATTATTGAAATAGGAGTATAAAGAATATGCAAGTATAAGGTTACCTTTCTCATACCTCTTTGGAGATAAGGATCTAGGTATAACAAATACATATGAAATTATTTTGATGCAATGAAAATGACATTTTAATTGTGATATTAATACTAAAGTCGCGATGTTAGTATTAGGGGCTGTTTGACAACTTCTGAATAGGTAAGTGTTGAACCAATAAGAGGTCTGAACCATTAAGTGCTAAACCAGTAAGAGGTCTGAATCATTAAGAGCTAGTATATTGCTTAACTATTCAGAGACAAATGTCTGATCAATTCAGATAAGAGGTCTTAACCATTCAGACTCTGTATAATACTTAACCATTCAGAGGCAAATGTCTGAACCATTCAGACATCTGAACCATTAAGAGGCTAAAAAAACAGTCTGAACCATTAAGTGTTGAACCATTCAGACATCTGAATCATTAAGAGGCTGAAACAAAAAGCCCCTTCAATTTTAATAACAAGGGAAGTCAAGGTAAGATTTTTTTGTTTAGCTGACCAATACTACTAAGAATTGTGTTTTAATTCACCCAAATAATAAAACTTCAATGAAGTACTAATTTTATGATCATTCAATTCCACAAAAATATGGTGCAATAACCTTGGTATATCACTTAAAAATCGACTGCAAATAAGTATTACGGAGTACATTATATAATAGCACTATGCACAAAGTGAACATACAAATTTAAATAATCCCTCCCTCCAACAATAGAGTTCTCGTTCACTATTCACAAGGTCAAATTGTTCATCTTCCTGGTGGTAGGAGTGGGCACGGATCGGGACGGTCCGGATTTTAGGTTGTCCCACGTCTTGTCCTGTTATATATAAACGGTCCGGAACGGTTCGGATCACAATCTAATCCCGGTTTGTCTCATAAAATTTGGGATCGGAATAAAACGGGACGGATTCGGGTCGTCCTACTTTGTCCTAATCGCAAATATAAAAAGGGGAAGAGGGTGACATTTCATTCAAAAAAAAGAAACATCTAGTCATCCAACAAAAAACAATGACTAGAACGGGTCCAAATAAATTTCAAGTTATGAAGTTAATTTAATTAAATAGCTAATTAATTAAAGAATGAGTGTATTTGGATTTTGGACTAGAATTAGTATTATATATTAGTAGAGTAGATGAAACGGGACAAACGGGACGGATCGGTATAAATTTAAGTTGTCCCGCTCATGTCCCATTTGATATTAGGAAGGAACGGGTTCGGGACAAAAAAAATGTGTCCCAATATATCGGTACAATTACAAAACGGATCTGGGATTTTTTGGGACTGTCCAACGGGAACGGATTTCACGCCCACCCCTACCTGGTGGAACTCAAAATCGAAACCAATAACCTTCATAGATGAATTTATGGGTTAGTCTCAAGAAATTACAAAGAAAACAAACCTTAAAACTCTACCATGAAGGTTACTGGTTTCGATTTTGAATTCCAGTAGGAAGACAAACAATTGAGATAGGAGGGATGATTTCGGTTTTGGGTTCAAAGCTTCAAACTCATCGACGGGTTTGGGAAGGTGTGCGAAAGGAGAGATGAAGCTTAATTGAGGAGAGAGAAGCGTGAATTTACAAATCTTTTCACATTTTTAACGGAAATGTTAACAAAGGATCATTCGTGAAAAACAATATCATAACTGGGACTAAATTATTAATATTTAATATGTAGGGACTAAATATGTAAAACGAACTATAATTGGGGACCTTTTATAGAATTTACTCTTTGTTTTCATATGGTAAACATCTACATAGTTACTATATATTCTTTCTTAAAAATGGAAAAATTATCCAAAATAATCCCAACTTTACCTGGTCTTTCAACAATAATCCCACCTTTCACTGTAATGCATAATAATCCCAACTTTA